CTGTCCTGCTTATATTGAACCAGAGCGGTGCCTCTTTATTCCCAGCACAGGATCGACGGAGAATGCAGACCGAGTCCTCGGAGATCGGGTATCCTTTTAAAAGGATCCTGGCAGTCACAGCAGACCGGGTCAATGGTTCCCCACGTTACAGCGGGATATAATCCCATAAGTCAGACCAAGTGACCCGCGTTCAAACAAATATCAGCGGCTGAGAGACGCGGGACGGTCGTTGGACCTACACGGGAGCTAACTTTTTTCGAGTCTCTTGAGAAAGGGATGTGGATGGGACGGGTAACGATCTTCTCTATCGTGGATGCACCGACATCGATCTAACCGGGTCCAGAGGTGGTCATCTTGAGCCAGGAGCTGGGCTTTATTGAATCTTGCACGATGAAGTCTCGACGCGTCCAGGGAATTCCGGATTTTAAAATGAACCAGATGCCGTATCGGAAGTGTTGCACGGGCTGCCTACGTGAGCCTGTCGTTTGACTCCTTGTTCGAGGACGACGTTCACTTGCTGACTGGAGAAAACGTTCGATCCTACGAATTTCTGAGCATTTCTGATTTTCTTGGAAAATAAGTCATTTATACTTGACTATTCTGCTGATGGATTGTCCTTATAGACCTTGTTGCAATTAAGTGTTCATTGCTAGACTGCTTGATAAGACCTATTCGATTTTGCTTCGCAGGGATCTGATGGTTCAGAATTTTATGATAAATGAAAGAATGAAGAAACTGACATCTGGTCACTTTTTACTCACAAGGAAAGGCATAGAACTGTCCCCCTTCGATTTTGATGGAACTTCGTATGTCTGTTAAGCAGTCAAAAATAAGGGATACGTATTTTTTTTATCGGCTGTGACGCGACTTTAAGGGGCGAAACCACCCCTCGAAGTTTCGATCTGAAATTTTTTTATTATAAACAAATTATATTTTGGACAATTTGTTAGCACCATATTGTTCTACATAAAAAATCACAAACCTCGTCCATTAGAAGTTTTCATGTATCTCCTCTGGTGTTTGAGATAGTACTTTCGCATCGAAGCTTCGAAGGGTGGTTTCACCCCTTATAGTCGCGTCTTAACCGATAAAAAAAATACGTATCCCTTATTTTGGACTGCTTTACAGACATACGAAGTTTCATTAAAATCGGAGGGGACACCTCCGTGCCTTTCTTTAGGGGGAGGGTAGCAGTGAAGCAGTAATTTCTTGTGCAAGCTAAACAGTACCGTTTGGAAGATCGATTCAACTTTATCTATCTAAAAGTCTACTATCAATCAATTGATTCTTATTAGAAGGTGAACTATGTAATAGCAAGTGATTTTTAGTTTCATGTTTTTTTATGTTTCTTGTCTCAAAGAGTATACACTAAGGGTCCATAAGTATCTGGATAGAAATAATGATGGTGGAAATTATGGATATTCTACGAGTATACCTGCCTTTATAGATTCTCATAAAGCAAGCAAATTGTACTAATTCGTTTACAAGTTGAACAAATTGTAAAATCGATTTTCTCGAAAAGGAGCCTCGGATAAAAAAATGTTATACCAAAATATTTTCTTCTTTTTTAACATAGAATCACCCCCTGCACGATTGTACCTACAATTTCCGGGTCACCCTGTATATTTCGAAATTCGCAAGAAAATTTCTTAATAAAAAATGGCACTATTTTTCGGTACACCTGATAGTAACATTCAAATATCGATAATATACCGTGTCTCGATATTTATGGACGCTAGTGTCTAGTTGATAGAGGTTCAATCTAATTAGAAGGAAAGCAATTTTCGTTCAGTATTATAGAAAACTGTCACGGATCTCGTATTACTCAAAATATTCATCATTACTTATTCTTTCCCATCGAAACAAGAGCACCGAGTGCTGCAGACGGGGAACGGTTTGAAAAGACTTTCGGAGCAATATTACAACAGCCCAGACCCTCATTTCGTCCCGATGAAGCTCTTATCCAGCGTCGAAGGGAAGACAATCGAGCATCTTCCCGAGACCGGAAACGCGAGGGGGACGAGATATTGAAGAACCGGCTGGATCGTAACGGGGTGGGAAACGGGGCGGAGGGAAACCGTTTGACACGGGGTGCCTCGAGTGCGTCTTTATCCGCGGTTCATTAGCCCCTCGTGTTTGCTGAGAAAACGTCGCCCCGACGAGCCTCGTCGCTTCGGCGCGTGGAAACACTCGCCGATACGTCTGTCGAGGTTTTAAAAGGATTACCCGTGGCTCGATTAAGCGTTTTCAGTCCTTAAATTTCCTTGCAACGAGTGGTTGAACCTACTCTTCCGGTTGAGCTTGAAATAGGTGCCTGAGTCTATGTTAAATAGGTAGAGTCCATTGGAAATTTCCTTCCTCGAATTACCCGTTTATATACAGGGTGTCCCTTCTAAATCAAACCACTCGAATATCTCTGAAATTATGTTTTTTTAAATGGAATAATATATTTTTTAATTCACTGATTCGTTATAACTAGACTCCGGATTTTTATGGAAAATGATAATTTTTAAAGTCATTTTTGAAGACAATAGCTAAGGTAGGCATTTCTTTCTTCTCTCAAATATGTTATTGGGTTCAGAATGAAGTTGAAAATACATTGTATCCGATGAAAGTTTTTTCTCTATTGTATTATACAAAGCCCTATTTGCTATAAATGCATAAAATCCGCAGTCTATTTATCAATAAAATCGTCAGTTTCACGTGCAACGACCTAATAACCACAGATTTAATGGAATTCACTCTCATCTGTGATATTCTGGTTCGTCACTATTCAACGTCCACGAAAGTACGCAATATCTCATAATCACGTCCTCCGTGCCATCTGAATATCACAGCTCGCGGGTTCATCCGGTTCTCGCGACGTCGAACGAACGCTCATTTCCAGGGTTGTCATGGAAAATTCAAGGGAAGGATAAGGATCGTTCATTCTTCCAGGAGCCACCGAGCCAACGTCCCTCTCTGTGGAATTGCTTTTACTCGCGCAGGCTTAAAGTTTAAAGTCGTCTGCAATTGTCTGGCAAACATTGACTACCCTTCCCGCCGAAGATTGATCCATACTCTGAAACTCCGGATGGAAGTCCCCAGACTTTTTGTTTACGTTTTCCTTTTGTTTTTGTGTAAATCTTTTGCTTGACGTTGCTTGAAGCTTCGTGCTTGTTGTGTGGATAAATACCCAATTTTCTTTGGATCATTATTTTTTTTTTTTTTCAAAATGGGAACTCAATTTATGGTATAGATCTCTGTGAACGCAGCTACAGGAGGCTAATGTGTAGTTTCCTACCTGATTTCATCGACTGAAAGACAGTAGGAATTGTTCTTTATTGAATTGTGTTAATGAGGAAACTTGAAATTTTGTTCTTTTATGAACATTCTATTTAAATTTGGTCACTGTGGACAAAGGACGTGCTTGCATCTGCAATTGTTAGAATTGCCAAGTGCCAAGAGGAAATTAGATACTAAAGACCATAATGGTTATCCTGGTTTTATTCTTCGAAATTGCTTCGGGTCAGTGGGAAATGTTTATTTTGTTTCATTTTAAATTTACTCTAAATTTGGTTGAACGACGAGAAACTTTACTTTTTATGATGGCTAGAGGACCGGCGTATTCTTGCCAGGAAGCGAGCGTTAAAAATTAGATTGAAAATTAAATTGACCGTGGGTGAATAGATTTTCTTCGGAGAAAGGCGTGGCGGTTTCTTTGTTATCGCCCTCTTAATTGAAATTGGCAACTCGTTTAATCCCGCACCTTCGTCTGGCTAAACGCGTTCAACGATTAAACCTCCTCCTATTTTACGCAAATAAACCTCCTGCTGTATAAACCTTCTACTGTTTTAACCAAATAAACCTCCTCCTACATAAACCTTCTACTGTTTTATCCAAATAAACCTCCTTCTATTATTCCGCTTAAAATAACTAAATGTATGTACTAAATTTCTTTAATATTTTACAGTAAATATTTCAACAATTCTTTGAATGATATTTATTTTCATCAAATAAATGTCATGAGGTTTTAAGGTCCTGATTATGGAAGAATATTCACTCTTTTCATTGTTTAAATAATACTGAGGATTATTTTGTAATTTGCTGGATGGACACATTTTCAACCGCGATTTAACTGAAAGTTTCACACGAAGCACCGTACAAAGTTATAAACTTTATAATGGTATTTTCGTTGGTTCACGAAATGTCGTGAATTTCCAAGATAGAAACTGATTAATATTACGAAAATTAGCGACGTTTCAAGATTTGATCTCCCAGATGGTCTCATTTCTGTAAACAATTGAACTCAGTTAACCCACTAAGGACCAATGTTGAGTTAATGCAATTCACTTGAAATCTTTTTCGGCCAATGAACATTGTTGAATTCTGTTTTTTCATGTTGTGGTTATGAAAATTATTGAAATAATGTTTTCGTTACTATTTCCTCTTTTGCTTAGGTATGTAATTGTAAAAAATGTCACGTGTAAAAATGATATTTTTCCACTACTTGGTCCTTAATGGGATAAACAGTTTAAAACAGTACATTAAGAATGCAAAATTTAAATTGATTTGATACAATTTACTGTATTAACAACTGCGAAACAGCAATGATATTAAAACAAAATTACCTGAAATTACCATTCATTTCACGAAACCACTGAAAGAGCATTCAACAAATTCATTTATCATTTCCACTACAAAACTCAATAATAGCTATCAATATTCATACACAGCCTCTTCCATTCCCTGATCACTAACAATAAACATAACAATATTAATACTTCTCCATATTTTTACCCGATCATCGAGATAAACAAACCACCCGAGACATTCATAATACTGCACCAGAGAAGAAAGAAATCCATCCACTGAAAACTTTAAACGAAATTACACCTGTCCTCCTTCCAGTAAATCGGATTTCCCGTTCTTTTTTTGTTTCTCGTAGAAAGAAATAGCACCCGTATGTTCGAAGGCTGAAAACGAAGTTCCCAATGTAACTCGAATTGTCTCGGACTCACCTGTTTAATCCAACTTTTCCACAGATCCCGGTCCCACGGGTGGTGAAAGCCGAGGTACAAGTGTCTAGTCTCGCGATGGTGACCGTCCCCTTGTTGCCGGGTTTGATGACACTGCTGAGTGACCCTTGGAAATCCAGTGATACGCAGCACCAGTTTACCTATCCGTGACGGCGCGTAACAGACCGCGCCTCCACCCCCGCTCAGCTCCATCCACTCGGGCCTCGACTCCGGACAGGCTGAAATCAGGGATGATTGATTCGGGGACTGTATTTACGAGCGGCTCTGACTTGTTTATCATAACATACTACCCTGTTCAAGAAGTTCCAGGACAGTCTCGTTTACAAGAAACAGTAGAATTCTATGTCACTTTTTTTTATTCTACGTAGGGGAAAGGTGTCTAAAACGATCCTTCGGGGTAAAATAATTCCTGGCTGCTTTGTGGTTATTAGTCCCCTTATGGAAGCAATAAAAAAATTCGCAATCATCGAGACATTACTGTAGTATTATTACATAGAGTTATTGCGGATTAATCTTCTTGAAATTTGACGCAATAAAAATTTATTTACCCTGTTAGGCGTTCTAGTACGGTTGAAAAAAAATGAATTCTCTGAATTTATTCTTTAGTATTATTTACGATAATTTCGGTCTTCCGTAAACATTTTCTCCACAAAATGACAGCAGCCAGGGTTAAAAAGAAGACAATAAAATATGGAGTTTTACTACTGGGATTCCCGGGCGACGATTTACCATGATTACCCTTTGTTCTGTTTGCGGCGGGGACACTAAGATTCACAGACCGTCTCCGCGGAATCGCGTATTCCGATTCGGGCAGCACTCGCGGGAGGACGATTATTATTCCGACGAGGAATTACTGTGGGGATGTTCCGTGATTTCGTAATCCCGACGATACTCCCTCGGTAAAATACTCGGTTAAATGAAAAGTTTTTGCAGACGATTGTTGTGAAATGTGTTGCAGCGTACTCGCGATAAGTTCTGGATTTGCCACTGGTCGGCGATAAATTAATATAAGTTGATGTGTTATTGTGGATGTTGATAGGTGTGATTTTAAATAATTTAAGTGTCAAAAGTATTCATATACATTTTAAAACGAAACAACTTTTTTAAAATTGGTGACTTGAGTTATTTTGTGAAGTTAGAGACATTAGTTTACTAAATAATGTGTAAACAAAAATTGAAAAAAATTGCAATTGGTTGGAATAGCGAAGAATATAGTAAAGGTCGTTTTTTACAACTTTTCAATCTGAGGTTATAATGAAAATTTAATAAATACGTATCGAAGATTTATGCTAGTTATATTACGTAAAACGAAAAAAAAATAAATATACATACATTTTTGTAATAAACGTCACAGAGTTCAGAGGTGCGTTGTATTAATGTAACTTAGATTGATTGAACTATAGAAAAAGAGGAGAATAAGAAAAATAGAATCTAAGAGGAGCCTCTGAGAAATCACCTCGGCATTAGAGGGTTAATAAGATATATTGCGTTGTTAGTCCTGTTTCTCTAAAAATGTAACATCCACTTCACTTTCGAAACAGAAGTACAACTTCTAATGATACCGTAGAAAATATAGAAACTTCCTGTTTTTAAAAGTTCACTGTTACATCGACGGTTTCCGCTGAAACTCGAAATTCGATCAGACTGACGAGCGATGTCAAACCGCGGTTTGTTAACCGTCCCCATGAGAACAAACGCGGCCAGATTTAAAACCGGTAGTCGCCCTGCGAATACCAATGGATAGGTCCAATTCGCAGCCACGTAATATTAGATGACGCGGCCGAGCTGCGTCCCTCTGAGCGAAAAATCCGGGCACAGTTGATCCCTCAGAATTGACCGTTTCAGAGATCGGAATTAATCGATCGACCGACATCTGACCCTTTGTACGCGATCGTCTGGCTTACAGCCGCTATATCTGTGTAGTGCAATTACCTTTGGTGGACGATCGAGGGTTGATACTATTATCAGAGTAGACGATAGAAGGTTGACGATAAAGGGTTGACAATAAAGGGTTGACAATAACGATAGAAAGTAGACGATAGAGGGTAGATAATGCACGTTTGATGGTAGACGATAGAGGGTTAACGATAAAGGGTTGACGATAGGGGATAGACGTTGCAGGATATATGATAAAGGGTTAAGAATAGTGAGTGGACGATAGAGGGTTGACGATAGAGGGTAGATAATGTACGTTAAATGGTAGACGATAGAGAGTAGACGATAGAGGGTTGACGATAAAGGATTGAGGATAGAGGGTAGACAATGCAGGGCAGATGGTAGACAATAGAGGGTTGACGATACAGGGTTGACCGTAGAGGATAGACGTTGCAGGATATATGATTAAGGGTTAAGAATAGTGAGTGGACGATAGAGGGTAGATAATGTACGTTAAATGGTAGACGATAAAGAGTAGACGATAGAGGGTTGACGATAAAGGGTTGACGATAGAGATTAGACAATGCAGGGCAGGTGGTAGACAATAGAGGGTTAACGATAAAGGGTTGACAGTAGAGGATAGACGTTGCAGGATATATGATTAAGGGTTAAGAATAGTGAGTGGACGATAGAGGGTAGATAATGTACGTTAAATGGTAGACGATAAAGAGTAGACGATAGAGGGTTGACGATAAAGGGTTGACGATAGAGATTAGACAATGCAGGGCAGGTGGTAGACAATAGAGGGTTAACGATAAAGGGTTGACAGTAGAGGATAGACGTTGCAGGATATATGATTAAGGGTTAAGAATAGTGAGTGGACGATAGAGGGTAGATAATGTACGTTAAATGGTAGACGATAAAGAGTAGACGATAGAGGGTTGACGATAAAGGATTGAGGATAGAGGGTAGACAATGCAGGGCAGGTGGTAGACAATAGAGGGTTGACGATACAGGGTTGACGGTAGAGGATAGACGTTGCAGGATAGATGATGAAGGGTTAACGATAGAGAGTAGACGATAGAGGGTTGACGATAGAGGGTAGATAATGTACGTTAAATGGTAGACGATAAAGAGTAGACGATAGAGGGTTGACGATAAAGGGTTGACGATAGAGGGTAGGCAATGCAGGGCAGATAGTAGACAATAGAGGGTTGACGATACAGGGTTGACCGTAGAGAATAGACGTTGCAGGATATATGATTAAAGGTTAAGAATAGTGAGTAGACGATAGAGGGTTGACGGTAGAGGGTAGACAGTAAACAGTGGTGGGTAGACGGTAAACGGTAGAGGTGAAAGGGTAAAGGGTAACGGTAAATGGTGTTTAAAACTGTTTGCTTTTGAAATACATTAGTGTTGACTTATAGTAATAATTATTACCATAACTATGTTTTTACAAAGCATACATGCTGTACCATTACTCGATTATGTACATGATTGTTCGTGTAATCCCTCCATTATTTGAATTTAATGCGTAATCTGCGGAGCAACAAAGCCAATTCGTTATAATGTATATTAATAAGTTATGGATGATTTTACAACGATATGAAATATTCAACAACTTTAATAAACTCCGTGTGGTAATTCTAATATTAACTATGCAGGTTAATACGAGTATATTATGCTGTATAATATTGATAAGGGAACCATAATTTTCACTTATATTAACGAACCGATAAGAGTGATATAAAACTGATTTTGTTATAAAAATAGCACCTTATTTTGTTCCCTTAATCAGTCCTTTTGAAATGTAAGTTTAGTGCGTGCCGTCGGAACTGCTGCGTCCAGGATTTCAATTCAAAATTACAATATTCACCGCCGTGAATTCCAAATATACATACATCGTGATAAATCGGGAGAATGTAGTTTAATCTGGACTGTACACACACTCGCCATATATATTCATTGTCATTTTCACGTGTGCCATAGGACAATATCGTATTTGACGTACAACTCTTGCGGGACCGTGAGTTCCGCGTGCTCATCTGGGACAATATTAATAACTGCTTTGATTTGAGCGCGAAAACAATTGCAAGCTGAAAGTCCGCTAATAGTTTCACAGAACCATTTGGATGCAATTGTTTCTCGTGTTTAACAAAAAGTAAACGACGTTCCTCCATTCCCATTTCCATGTCTATGTAATTAATTTAATCCGCGTATTTTTTATCGCAACGTTATATATTTCCTTCATGCTAATAAGGGTAGGTACTCCCCAGGTCTCTTCCGTATCAGTGGAGATACAAATAAAAAGTGTTTCGACGTCACGAACATGCGTTTTCTTTTTAATTAAAAATTCTGCGCTGTCATATTTGCGAACGGAACTTTCGGTATATTTTACCTTCATCGTTATTATTCAAAGGAGAATTACAAACGATGAATTACACGAATATTTTAAAAATCGTTACCGTTGCCTCTGTAATTATTCTTTTATACTATCATTAATGTTACAAGAATATTCTTCAGTAGAGAACATCCCGTATTCGAATATCATAATATTCAAACGTTCTATTATCCGAGCAGCCAAATGTAAAAGCAGCAAGTTGCAATTTTTAAATACTTATATTACCATGCACCTTTCTTTTGTCCAATCGAATTCTACCTAATTACTTATGTTGAACAATTTCTATAATTTAAAAGCCAAGAAGATACAGGACCAACAAATATTTAAACAAAATTTCGGCATTTCTGATCTTCGTTTAAATAAATGTGGTTCAGTATTGGAAAAGTGATTGTTCTATTATTTCCATGTTCTACTGTATCCATATTTAATTCAAATATCGACACACGTTGGAAATATACATGAAATAACAGTACGCAATACCAACGATCCACGTAAAGACACGGAATTCTCGCGGAAACAATTGAAAATTGCGAGTCAGTTAATTCAACGAACATCCTGAAGAAACATAGCAAGAAAAACGGAAAGTTCGCGGGTCTGGGTTAGGTTTGAAGGAAGGGCTGTTCGATTGATCGGTAACCTCATCAGGACGGCGAAGTGTAACCAGAGGCCATGCCAGGAATGCGGGCAATTAAAACTTTCGAAAAGCTCGCCCCCGGTACAGGGCTGGTCAACGCTTTGGCTCATTATTAAGCAATCTCGACAACTTTTCTCTCGGCGGTCTAGCTGAGGGACGTTGTCGTTCGGTAAAATGGATTCCCGGGTAAAACACTTCCACTTTAGTAAAGGCGATCAGGAATTTCATCGATTAAATAACCTTCCAAAAAGTTAAAAAAAAAATTCATTTCGTAGAATGTATATTTTTTGAAGAAATTTGGCGATTCT